GGAGAAGATCTAAAGATAAAGTGCAAAATGATGTCTAAAAATTTTGGAGAACAAGATGTCCTCACCTCAGAGAACACTTCGAAATCCTCATGGATCCATGTCTAAACCACTTGATTCAAATTAAAACGAACCATATACCAAAAGAATATAATTTTGACTATATAGATAGACATAACCATTTTCAAGCAGCAACCTAAGAGAACTCGCTAGGGACAATGATGTTACTCCATGGTTCGTTCCAGGTCACAAAAACATTCTGGGCAATGAAAGGGCGGACAAGTTGGCCAAAGAGACAGGGAGAACGTCCTTTATTGGACTCCAACCCGGCTGTGGACTACAAAAAAGCCACTTAAAACTAGTAATCAATAGTGGGAAGGCCTCAAAGGTAGCCTTACGCTGGAAAGAACTTCCAGGTCACAGATAAACGAAGAGTATGACAACTCCGTCGGAAAATGCCTCAGCAAAGGGGATCTAAAGTCGCTCTCAGACTTCCTGATAGGCCATGTGCCCCTAAAATACCACCTCTTCTGTATTGGACAAGCTGACGATCAAATTTGTCGATTTTGCAACGACGAGCCACGACTGCTCGGTAAAGTTCGCCTGACACCTAGCGACATAAAGGAACAAGACCTTGGAGCAATACTTAGGTTCATCAAGGATTCACATTTACCTTAAACCTTTGGAGGGCTTAAGTTATAATAGATCTTATATGATATGATATCTTATTGAATACATAAATATCTGGAAAAAAAGCTAAATGAAAAATGGAATAAGATTATGAAGATGACGAAACCTAAGATTAAGACTATTTACTCTAACAGTTAAATTGGGTTATTAAATACGAATCAATTTTTATTGATTAAGGTGCATTAAGGAACATTTTCGTAAAGATAAAGAAGATATAGTGAATTATCTTAATAAATATTGCGAACTAATACGCGTTTGTACTGAGTCGAGTACATGGTTGTATCTAGGTTGTGTCATAAATCTATTGAAAGTTTTTTCGTGTTTATAACGTAATTTGACACCGTTTTCAATCGTTTTGAACAATTTTGACACACACCATTCAATTATGACATTTTTTTTAATATCTTTGAAACATTTTCAAAAAACATCAAAAACATTAAGTATCGTTAAAACATTTTTGATCGCTTAAAACCATTTTGATTTACACCAATCAGATTTTCCAATATTCCAAAATCTTTCGAAGTTTCTGGAAAACATCTCCATTAATTTTTCTAAGTTCTTTTATTTTTGTAACTTAATTTGAAACCGTTTTCAATCGTTTTGAATAATTTTGACACACACCAATCAATTTTTATATCTATGATATCTTTGAAATGCTTTCAAATAACATCAAAAACATTTTTTTTTGAATCTTTCATTCTCCTTAAGTATCCTGAATATATTTTTAATCGATTAGACCATTTTGGTTCACACCAATAAAATTTTTCCATATTCCAAAAACTTTATGGAAAACATCTCTTTATTAACAACCTGAAACTGTAGCAATCTGTGACTCGATTGTACCTCCAGTACACTCCTTACCTATCAGCATTCCAATATTACCCATTATGGCAGAGGAAATTTTTCACATTAGATATTATTCGAATATGCTTAAGACACTTTTGGTTATTACAAAAATTAAAGAGCAGCGAAAGAAGTGATGCTTTTAATAAGAATATAATTTTCTTTCAATACAACTTCCAATCATTAAATCTTCAGCAAATTCTGCTACAGGCAAATAGGAATAACAATGGAGCTATTAAGAAAACTTCCAAAACTCCTAATCTAAAAGTTTCTAATATGCTGAGGACCTCAATGATGCTCGATAATGTACCAACTTAGAAAACTTTGAAACAGGAAATAGACTTGGATTAATATGTCAATTTAGATGAGTTAACATAGCATTAACGTTGGATTAAGTATTGATTACCGTTCGATTTAAATTTTATAAAATTTGCTTCGACTCAATGTGATGTAAATATTGGATTTAGATTATTATTGGATTATAATAATTTATTAATGTATTAAAAATTAATGAAGTTTTTGTTGGATTAACACTCGGTTAAGATTAACGTGGCGCTATACAGGGTGTGTTATTAGTATCCCGGCGGACGATAGTTGCTAAACCATTTGAGAAGGAAAAATTTTTTTTTTACAAAAGTTATTTGATTCTCACTACTTTCTATTAAGTAAAATGAAGTCTTAAAAGAGAGGACCTCACGCAATTTATTGTTTTCATGTCTTTCATGACTGATGTGAACTAAAACTAGCACTATCATTAGAACTAACACAGGTGTAACTAGAAACATTCGGTATGTCGCTAAACATTTTTTTAAAAAACAGAAATATTCGATATGTCTCAAAAGTTAGTTCAATAAAAAATAGCTTTACCTTCAACGGAGGCTGCTCTCAATTATAGCTTCCTTCTCCGAATCCCTAGAACTAATACTCGTCCTTGAACTAGAAACATTCGAGTTTAGCCGTCTTTTGAGACGTGCGGCTAAACCCGACTGTTTCTAGTTCTAGGTTGAGTGTTAGTTATAGTGACAGTGCTAAGTAGCGTTGGTTAGCACTAGATACCGCTAAATTGTATATTATTATTCAGCTAAACTAGAACTAACACTAGACCTAGAACTAGAAATATTCGGGTTTAGCCGAAACTTAACCCGAAACTTTCTAGTTCTAGGTCTAGTGTTAGTTCTAGTTTTAGTTGTTATTCAGCGCTAGGTTGTTATATATATAAATATATACAGGGTGACAAATAATGACTAATAGATAAAAAAAATTTAAGTAAGTTTTTTTTTAGTTTTTTTACCCGGCCTGAATCCTCTTGATTTTTACTTTTCGGGTCACTTAAAAAGCATAGTGTACGCGACGGAAGTTAATACTGAGCAAATATTGCAAAATCAGATACATGCTGCTGCCAAGACAATCCGCTAATACCCTGGTTTAAGCTGCTTTAGTGAGAGATCGTGAATTCGGGGAGCCCAATTGATAGAAAATTTGGGAAATAACTTCGAACACTTGCTGTGATGTTATTTTAAAATGTTCTATGTATTTTTGATTTTTAAGTAAATATCACGGATATCTATGAAACAGAAAATCTTTTACTACAAATTTTTTCGCCTATTAGTCATTATTCGTCATGAGGAGTAAATCCCCGAGTTTATGCGTATAGGTTGAAAATGCCTTATACGCATAAACGCCCTGTATGAGATCGCCCTGTATATAAATATACAGGGCGAGTTATTAGTGTCCCGGCGGTCGATAGTTTCTAAACCGTTTGAAAAACAAAAAAATATTTTATACAAAAGTTGTTTCACTTATCACTTTCTATTACGTAAAATTATTTTCACTTATACAGGGTGGTCCATTTAGGCGTAACGGAGAGTACGTAGATTTTTTAAATGGAACACCCTATATATTTTATCATACTATGAGTAGCATTAAGTTTGCTTATACAGCCGTATACGTTACAAACTCATAATGTTCCTAGTTCTTAAGATATTCAATTGTTTTTCCAAAATCTGTCCATAGCAGCATCTTTTTAAAAACGCGACATTCTTTCCAATTTTGTCTTGAAACTATGTCAGATAATAGTCAAAACCAGTAGGTAAATGATAGTATCCAAAAATATTAGATACGCTATACAGCGTGTTCATAAAGCTTAGTTACTTTTGATGTTTTTCAAATGGTTTTTTTATAAGTTTTTTAAATGGAACACCTGTATATTGTGTGCTGGTTGAAGTGCCCATCAAGTTACCGTTAATTAATGATAAGTATGTCATATATCTAACTTTAGTAGTTTTCCTGATATTTAGAATTTAAAGAGTAATGTGTAATAAAATATGCGTTATTGTACTTAATATTATATTCTGTCTATGTTTATCAGTTTTTTTTGTTCTTGCTTTTATTATTTGATTAATATTTTATAATGTAAAATAATTTTGCTGCCATATACCAGATTTTAATGCGACTTGGTACTTTATGAGATCTTAAAAAGTTGTAAGTAATAAAATATGCAATTGTTCTGCCATATAATTTATAACTTTAGAGAAAATAAAATGCACATGTTTAGAGATACCTCAAGATCTTTTATACAGCGCATTAATGCTTGTAGAAGAGAAAATGGGCGGCATTTTGAGCAACTTCTAAATATTAATTAAATTAATACCTACTTGTTGAGCAACGTTTAGTAATTGTTTATAGTTTGTTGCTGCATTTCAAAGGGATTTATTGTTAACAAAAAAGAAAAAACAAAAAAAGTGACAAGAAAAGGACAATATATTACATTCTGTCACTTTTTTAAGTACAATAATAACATTTTTCTTTAAATTCTAAATATCAAGCAAACTATTAAAGTTAGATATATGACATACTTATCATTAATTAAAACTAACTTGATAAGCAATTCAACTAGCACACAATATACAGGGTGTTCCATTTAAAAAACTTAAGAAAAAGCCATTTGAAAAACATCAAAAGTAACTAAGCTTTATGAACACGCTGTATAGCGTAACTAATATCTTTGGTTACTATCATTTATCAACTGGCTTTGACTTATTTGATCTAGTTGATCTAATAACTCACCCTGTATATCGTAGTTTCTAAAAAAAGTTGTGTTGATCTCAACTAATAAATATTTTATCCGGCGCATCCACCATAATTCTTTAAAACTGATTACTTAACACCTTCGCGCTTTATTCAAAGTCTTTAAAGTTTAAAATGTTCCCAAACACTTTTGCCGCATCGACAAATAATGAATAAAGAATGAATAAACAATACGGCGTTTTCTAATTAATTTCCCTATTACATCATCATCGTAACATTAACCTAAGCCGTTTAATAACCATTTAATGGGATATTGTTTTAGAAATAACTTGTAAAATTAATCTTCATTCAAGAATCTTTTCTGTTAACTATGATTATAAAAGTGCTAATTATAGATTTTTATTGTTTACTCATTTTTTTATTAAAAATTTTTTTAATTCCAGGCTTATGAACTATCAACGTTAACTGGGACCCAAGTGATGCTGCTGGTGGCTTCGGAAACCGGTCACGTGTACACCTTCGCAACGAGAAAACTTCAACCCATGATAACCAGCGACGCTGGTAAGGCGTTGATCCAAACGTGTCTAAACTCGCCCGATCCGCCGGCGGGTTCTTCGTCGGGTGATCAACGGATGTCGGCGACAGGGTTCGAGGAAACGGAACTGACGTACAACATTAGCGACGAGGATTCAAAAGTAAGGCAAATGGTCTACGGTTCGCCGCACACGCACTCGCATGCGCTACAAAGCCAACATTACGGCCACCTGGAGCAAAGCCATCTGGGTCTGGGCGGGTCGCCGCAACACGGGGCCTACTCGCAGGCGTGTCCAAGCCCGTTACCGCCACCCCATCAACCTTACGGTCATCCCCAACACCCGCACCATACCCATATGGCTCATGCTCATTCGCAACGATAAGAATTAAAACAAAAATGTAGACCCAAGTTATTATTAACTTGACGTTTTACACTTCGATTATGTTCGTGCGTCGATTCGGTTGATTCCGGTTGAACGAAATTCGATTTTTGAATGTGTAAAAAGACAATTTCAATCTAAATCTTGTAAATTCTAGTAAATATGCTTCAATTAGAACTCGGCGATTAAGCTTCGAGTATGTTCGTATGTTTTCGGTCGAATAATTAAGGAGTGGGGAGAACGAAACTTGTTGCGACTAGTTTCAAGGTCATTTGTAGGGTAATTTCATTTAAATCCGAGTACATATTCATATGGTGATTTATAACCGGATTTAAATCGATTACAAATTCAAATTAAAACATTAAAAAAAAATACGAAACCACATTCCAACAAAAAAAAAAAATTGTAAAAAAATTATAAAAAAAATCATTCTTACTTTACTTTAAACTTGAAAGGTTTAAAAAGAAGTTACAATCGCGTTCTCGAATTCTTTCTTCTTTTTATCGTTTTCGATCCTTTAAACTTGAACACTTTTTGAGATTCGAAAATGAAAAGGAAAAAACGACTTTAAACGGTGTCGATGGGTTGAAAAAGTCAATTTGGTCTGGTTGAAAAACACAGTCGGGTTGTTTTAAAATTTTTTCTTGTCGGATATTGCCCGGGTGAAAAGACAAAGATATGTTGAAGAAGAAGACGACGAAGAAGTCGGAAGAAAAGAGTATCTCGATCGAAAGAGGAGAACGATGATGTTGCGTTGAGAAAAGAAGGAATCAAAAAGAAGAAGAAGCGCGTCCGCGACGAGAACGAACCGCGCGGTCCCGTCGAAGACAATCGATCGTTTGTTAGGGGGTTTTTCTCGGTCGGCGGGGGCCCCTTTTTGCGATGACCGCTGCGACCAATTAGCAGTAGGCCACGGTCGATCTGAAGCTGTCAAAAATCGCTCGATAGACGCCGAATCGCTAAAGCAGACTTCGATATTGAATTATTCATCGAGTTCTCTTTCGGTGTCGTCGACGTCGTCTACAAAAATTTTCTTCTTGGTGAAGTCTCAAAAGAGAGGACCTCACGCAATTTATTGTTTTCATATCTTTCATGATTTGTGTGAACTAAAACTAACACTATCGTTAGAACTAATACAAAATGTAACTAGAAACATTCGGTATCTCAAAAGATAGTTCAATAAAAGATAGCTCTACCTTCAACGAGGGTGCTTCATTCTCCAAATCACTAGAACTAATACTCGTCCTTGAACTAGAATCATTCGGGTTTAGCCGTCTTTTGAGACGTGCGGCTAAACCCGAATGTTTCTAGTTCTAGGTCGAGTGTTAGTTGTAGTGACAGTGCTAAGTAGCCTTGGATAGCACTAGATAGCGCTAAATTGTATATTATTATTGAGCTAAAACTAGAACTAACACTAGACCTAGAACTAGAAAGTTTCGGGTTTAGTTGTTATTTAGCGCTACGTTGTTATATATATATATATATAAATATATATAAATCTGTATAAATATACAGGGTGATTTATAATATACGAAGCAGATTAAAAGGGTAGGTACTTGGGGTCAAACTGAAGAGATTTTCTTAATAATATTTTGTTAAAAACTTAATAGTTATACATATAGATATCGCATGGTAATTTTTTAAATAATTTATCGTCCATTTTTTAGTAAAGAACAATTAAAATAGAAAATATTACATTCTGTCACTTTTTAAGTACAATAATGACATTTTATTACACATTTTTTTTTAAATTCTAAATATAAGAAAAAGCCATTTGAAAAACATTAAAAGTAACTAAGCTTTCTAAACATCCTGTATAGTGTATCTAATATCTTTGAATACTATCATCTGCCCACTGGCATTGACTATTGTCTGATATAGTTTCAAGGCAAAATCGGAAAAAATGTCGTTTTTACACCGTTTTTAAAAAGATCCTGTAATGGGCACATTTTGGAAGAACAATGAATATATCAGGAACTACGAACGCTGTGAAATAGTAATATATACGGTTGTATAAACAAATTTAGTTGTATTCATAATATACTAACATAAACAGGGTGTTCCATTTAAACAAATTGACGTACTCTCCGTTACGCTTAAATGGAACACCCTGTATAAGTGAAAATAATTTTACGTAATAGAAAGTGATGAGTCAAACAACTTTTGTACAAAATATTTTTTTGTTTTTCAAACGGTTTAGTAATTATCGACCGTCGGGATACTAATAACTCACCCTGTATATTTATATACAGGGTGTGTCAAATGTCTGGAATATAGTATATAATATATGGTTTTAAAGAATAATGTTTCAATTAAAAAATTCTTTATTAATTGTGGCGCATTTTTTTGCGGTACTTGCTTTTTTAAATTGTTCTTTGTTTGGTTGCTATGGCAACCAACATTGTTATTTTAAATGGGATGTACATATTTTTCTATAGTCTTCAGACGCACGGCTAAACCCGAATATTTCTAGTTCTAGGTCTAGTGTTACTTCTAGTTTTAATTGTTATTCAGCACTACGTTGTTATACATATATATATATATAAATATATATAAATCTGTATAAATATACAGGGTGATTTATAACATACGTAGCAGATTAAAAGGTACTTGGGGTCAAATTGAAGGGATTTCCTTAATAATGTTTTGTTAAAACCTTAATAGTTATATAGATATTCCATGTTAATTTTTTAAATAAGTTATCGTCCATTTTTTAGTAAAGAACAATTAAAATAATTCTTAAATGACAGGTCCGCTGCTAGTTAACCAAATCAACTGGATTGGCAGCAATAAAAACATGATATCAGCGGTTCTCAACAAACAAACACCAATTTTTGAGCGATTTAACAAATTTTTAAATAGCCGTAACTGCCATATTACAAAGATTTTATTGTTGGTGCTAATTATGTATTGTTTAAGTAACCCCAAAATATTCGCAGTTTGAATTTAAACGTAGTGTAATACCGTATAAACATTATTAAGAAAATATCTTCAGTTTGGGCCCTAGTACCCTTTTAATCCGCTCCGTATGTTATAAATCACCCTGTATATAAATATACATAAATACAGGGTGTTTAGAAATTGGCGGATAATCTACACATAACGACATTCTNAAACGTAGTGTAATACCATATAAACATTATTAAGAAAATATCTTCAGTTTGGGCCCTTTTAATCCGCTCCGTATGTTATAAATCACCCTGTATATAAATATACATAAATACAGGGTGTTTAGAAATTGGCGGATAATCTACACATAACGACATTCTGCAACCGATTCTGTATCGAAAATCTTAATGTTAAAATGTTGTTCTACTATGTTGCCAAATGTGTTTTTCATGAAGATATGATAATGGAAAAACGTTAAAAACGAACTTTAAAGCTAAAGAAAATAACTTCAACAAAAAACTTGTTTTCAAAATTCTTTTTATTCTAAATTATAGCAGATATTGAATATTAATGATTGTTTATGGACAAATCATACAACATTTTACAATTAACACCCTGTATATATAATTACACATAAAGGATATATATACAGGCTGTGTCAAATATCTGGAATATAGCCAATAACTTCGCCATTAGTGGTTTTAAAGAAAAATTTTTCAAATACAAGTTTCTTTATTAATCATGACTCATTTTTTGGCGATATTTGCTTGTTTGTATTGTTTTTTGTTTCGTTGTCAACGGCGTTATTTCGGCGCCTACTTTGATTATAATTAGCTGATTTAAGACTTTCAAAAAACGCATTTTTTCTCATACAACCATATGGTTTGATATGTTCATCGCATAGAGGGACTTATCCTCTATCGAAGTATGCAAAAAAATATGTACATCCCATTTATAATAACAATGTTGGTTGCCATAGCAACGAAACAAAGAACAATTTAAAAAAGCAAGTATCGCAAAAAAATGCGCCACAATTAATAAAGATTTTTTTAATTGAAACATTATTCTTTAAAACCATATATTATATACTATATTCCAGACATTTTACACACTCTGTATATAAATATACAGGGTGAGTTATTAGTATCCCGACGGTCGATAATTACTAAACCGTTTGAAAAACAAAAAAATTTTTTATACAAAAGTTGTTTGATTCATCACTTTCTATTACGTAAAATTATTTTCACTTATACAGGATGTTCCATTTAAGCGTAACGGAGAGTACGTCAATTTTTTGTTTAAATGGAACACCCTGTTTATGTTAGTATATTATGAATACAGCTAAATTTGTTTATACAACCGTATATATTATTATTTCACAGCGTTCATAGTTCCTGATATATTCATTGTTCTTCCAAAATGTGCCCATTACAGGATCTTTTTAAAAACGATGTAAAAACGAAATTTTTTCCGATTTTGCCTTGAAACTACGCCAGACAATAGTCAAAGCCAGTAGGTAGATGATAGTATTCAAAGATATTAGATACACTATACAGGATGTTTATAAAGCTTAGTAATATAAAGTGACAGAATGTAATATATTCTGTCCTTTTTTTGTCACTTTTTTTTGTTTGTCTGTCATTTCTAAATCAGTAATATTATATTAAAATACAATTTAAAAAAACTTTAATAAATAAATAATCAAAACGTGATAAAAATACAAAAAATACAATTAAATGGCAGAACAATAAATCCCTTTTTTAATTCCTAAATTATTTGTAGGAAATGCAGGAACAAACTATAAACAATTACTAAACGTTGCTCAACAAGTAGATCTTAATTTAATTAATATTTAGAAGTTGTTCAAAATGCCGCCCATTTTCTCTTCTACAAGCATTAATGCGCTGTATAAAAGATCTTGAGGTATCTCTTAACATGTGCATCTTATTTTCTCTAAAATTGTAAATTATATGGCAGAACAATTGCGTTTTTTATTACTTATATCTTTTTAAAATCTCATAAAGTACCAAGTCGAATTAAAATTTGGTGTATGACGACAAAATTATTTTACATTATAAAATATTAATCAAATAATAAAAGGAAGAACAAAAAAAACTGATAAACATAGATAGAATATAATATTAAGTACAATAATGCATATTTTATTACACATTATTCATTAAATTCTAAATATCAAGAAAATCACTAAAGTTAGATATATGACATATTTATCATTAATTAAAGAGGACTTGATTGGCAATTCAACTAGCACACAATGTACAGGATGTTCCATTTAAAAAACTTACG